CTCCTGGAATATCACATTTTGGAACATATATTGAAACTTATAAATTATCCAAAATTACTAGTATTAGATGAATAGTTAGAACACTGACCAAAAAAGGCAGTAATATTAGATGAGGGAATAAAACTGGATATAAACCTTGTGTTGCTGTTAGGTGGTGTCAAGTTGGTTTTGACTCAGAGTGACCCTATGTACACAGAACGAACTTGTGACCTGGTCTCTCACCATCCTCAAAATCATTGCTATGTTTAAGACCTTTGTTACAGCCACTGTATCAATCCACCTCATTGGGGATCTTCCTCTTTTAGGCTGACCCTCTACTTTACCAAGCATGAATTCTTCCCCAAATACTGGTTCCTCCTATTAACATATCCAAAATAAGTAAGCACCTCTAAGAAGCATTCTGGCTATACTTTTTCCAAGACAGATTTGTTCATTCTTCTGGTTGTCCACAGTACATTCAATATTCTTCACCAACACCATAATTCAAAGGCATACATTCTTCTTGGTCTTCCATATTCACTGTTCAGCTTTCACATGCATATGAGGTGACTGAAAATACCATGGCTTGGATCAGGTGCACCTTAGTCCTCAAAATGACATCTTTGCATTAAAACTTAATGCAAAGAAATCTTTTGCAGCAGATCTGCCCAACGCAATACCTTGTCTCATTTCTTGACTACCTCTTCCATGGGCATTGACTGTGGATCCAAGTAAAATGAAATCCTTGACAACCTCAGTCTTTTCTCTGTTTATCATGATGTTGCTTACTGTGAGGATTTTTGTTGTCTTTATGTTAAGGTATACTCCATAATCAATATTGTAGTCTTTGATTTTCATTAGTAAGTGCTTCAAGTCATCTTCACTTTCAGCAAGCAAGGTTATGGTGTCTACATGTCACAGATTGTTATTGACTCTTCTTCCAATCCTGATGCCATATTCTTCTTCATATAGTCCAGCTTCTTGGATTATTTCTTCAGCATACAGACTGAGTAAGTATGGTGAAAGGATACAACCCTGACGTACACCTTTCCTGATTTTAAAGCACACAA